GGGAAATAACAAGCGGCCTCAGGGCGAGGGACTGGGGGCCCAGAGAGATGCCCGCCCGCACGGTAGTCCAGCAGTCCCTGTCTCTGCCGTCTCCCTGCCCCCTCCCCAAGTTCGGGTGCTTCCCTCAGGCTCCGGGGTGCTGCCCTTAGCCCTGACTCCTTGGTGCTTGCCTCGGACACCCCTCCCCGCCGGGGCGCTGACCTGGGACTCCTCTTGTTTGCTTCTAGATCTGGTTGCGGAGCTGCCATGATTGAAGTGGTAGCAGAGCTGAGCCGGGGTCCTGTGTTTCTGGCGGGGGAGGCGCTGGAGTGCGTGGTGACCGTCACCAACCCCCTGCCTCCCACGGCCACTTCTGCATCCAGGTGGGGATGCTGATACCGAACGGGGGGCCCTTCCGGGAGGAAGCCAGCTTGGTGTCTGGTGCTGCACCAGAGCTTAGGGTGTGCTGTAGCTGCACCACCGCTTCTGCTCATTGTGCTCTCCTCGTAGGAAAGGGCTGTTTAACGGAGGGTGGCGGTGACATAGCCGGCCTCCCCGGTACCCACTGGACGCTGCTCTTTGTTTAATGGTGTGTCTTTGGTGTTCTGGATTTCTTGGTCACCAAGACGGCCACCTGATCTTGCTGGTCTCATCAGGCAGTGTGGTAGGGAGTTTGGGAATGTGTTCATGAGGAGCTACCCTCTGACAACTCGCTTTCCTCTTCTCACAGCGAGGCTCTGGCCTGGGCCAGTGCCCAGATCCACTGCCAGTTCCATGCCAGTGAGAGCCGAGTGGCCCTGCCTCCCCCTGACTCGAATCAGCCGGAAGTCCAGCCTGACAGCCAGACTGTCTTCCTGCCACACCGAGGTTGGAGATGGGGGCGGGGGCTACTACTGATTACCTTGGGGAGGGGGTAGAGTCCTTGTCACCCGAGGTGAAGTTACCGAGTTGTTCTTGTGCATCGGTGTAGTCTCTGTCACATCAGGCATGTGGGGGCACGTACTGTAGGAGGGCCTAAGACTGTGTCCCCACGTCACAACAGGAAGAGAGCGATGGCCGGCCTTTCCTTTCACTGCCTCTGCTTCCCCTGCCAGCCTGGACAGCAGGGCCGCTCAGCTGCGGTCTTCTTACCTCCTTTAGGTGAGAGGGGCCAGTGTATCCTTTCTACTCCACCGAAAATTCTCTTCTGCGACCTGAGGCTAGACCCCGGAGAGTCCAAATCATGTGAGTGACTGTCCCCACCCCTCAGTTGCCCTCTGAGTGTGCTGGAGGGAGTACTCCTGTGGCTGCGTTTGACTGTCCTGATTGCCACTTCCCAACCAGACTCCTACAGTGAAGTGCTGCCCAGAGAGGGACCACCCTCGTTTCGGGGTCAGTCAGTCAAGTACGTCTACAAACTGACCATTGGCTGCCAGCGCGTCAACTCACCCATCACTTTACTCAGGGTCCCTTTGAGGGTGCTCGTGCTGACTGGTAAGTGAGGGTTCCTGGGGAAGGGCTGGGGGGGGATAGAGCCTTACCAAGGCAGGGGAGGTCTGGGGAGCTGCCCACAGAGGCTTCAGGGCAACTTCCTGGGCTCCGCGAAGGTGCCGAGAGTCGGGGAGGGAGCATTCTGGGGGATAGTTTGATGTGTAAACCCCAGTCTTGGCTGCCTGACCTTCAGCCCTGTCAGGCTGGAGTCTAAGACCCTAACCTCTAGTCATCTCTGTTGCCTACCAGCGTCGCCTCTCTGCTCATTCTCTCTCTAGGCCTTCAAGATGTCCGGTTTCCCCAGGATGAGGCTGTAGCCCCATCCAGTCCGTTCTTGGAGGAGGATGAAGGTGGGAAGAAGGATTCGTGGCTGGCTGAGCTTGCCGGGGAGCGCCTGATGGCGGCCACATCCTGCCGCAGCCTCCGTGAGAACCCTCTCTGAATTTTTTTTTTTTTTTAAGATTTATTTATTTCAAAGTCAGAGTTACACAGAGAGAGAGAGAGAGAGAGAGAGAGAGAGGTCTTCCAACTGCTGGTTCACTCCCCAATTGGCCACAGTGGCCAGAGCTGTGCCCATCCAAAGCCAAGAGCTTCTTCCAGGTCTCTCACATGGGTGCAGGGCACTGCTGTCCCAGGCCATAGCAGAGAGCTGGATTGGAAGTGGAGCAGCTGGTCTCGAACCGGCACCCATATGGGATGCTGGCGCTTCAGGCCGGGGCATTAACCTGCAGTGCCACAGCACCGCCACCCCTTCACCTCTGAATTGCCCCAGCCCACCCTTCCCTCATAGTATTTCTATCCCAGAGACAGAGTCTTTTGACTGTCATACATGAGGGGACTTCAGAAAGTTCATGGAAAATTTGTATTTTAATTCCATGTTTTCCCTTTGTACTTCTGTAAAGCCATTGACATCTCATCCCTGCTTATAAAGAAAGGCCCAATCTTTTGGCTTCTGATGCCTACTCCTAGACTCTCCCCAGTGTAGACTCCAGGTTGACCAGGTCCCGTTGTCCCCAGATCTGTACAACATCAGTGATGGCCAAGGGAAAGTTGGGACATTCGGCATCTTCAAATCTGTGTACAGACTCGGCGAGGACGTGGTAGGGACCCTAAACTTAGGGGAAGGAACCGTAGCTTGTTTGCAGGTGAGAAGGGAGCTGAGCTGCCGGGGCACTGGGCCTGGAGGGTTGGGAGGGACGAGAAGGGCCTGCATAAAGAGGGTGGTTTGTGGAAGTGGGTCATGCAGTCTCCCTGGGTCCCTTTGGTAAGGCAGCTTGAGGCTGGGCTGCCCTCTCACCCGATCAGCAGTTCTGAATGCCTGTGAACCCACATCTCTCTTCTTGCTTCCAGTTTTCAGTAAGCCTACAGACTGAGGAGCGGGTACAGCCTGAGTACCAGCGGCGCCGTGGGGCAGGAGGTGTCCCCTCTGTGTCCCATGTGACTCACGCGCGCCACCAAGAGTCCTGCTTACATACAACCAGAACCAGCTTCTCCCTCCCTATCCCTCTCAGCTGCACCCCAGGCTTCTGCACAGCCATTGGTGAGACCCAGACTGTTAATGGAGAAGGGGCTGGTAGGCAGCAAAATGCTAGGTAGGGTGTAATCGATCTCCATTCCTCATGCACTCCCCCAGGATATCCACCTCCAACCTCTAGCTCGTGGTACTTTCTCAGATCTTTATCCTCTATCTCTATTCCTTGGATGCCCCGACCCCTAGCGTCTTAGCTTTACAGAACTCCTGCGTCCCTACCCATGGGCCCCCTGTGATGTGCGTATCTGATTCCCCAGCATCTCTACTTGGAGTCAGCTAGTCCTGATGTCCCACATGGGCCATGAGATTCTTTTTTTTTTTTTTTTTCTTTTTTGATAGGCAGAGTGGACAGTGAGAGAGAGAGAGAGACAGAGAGAAAGGTCTTCCTTTTGCCGTTGGTTCACTCTCCAATGGCTGCTGTGGCCGGCGCACTGCGGCCGGCGCACCGCGCTGATCTGAAGGCAGGAGCCAGGTGCTTCTCCTGGTCTCCCATGGGGTACAGGGCCCAAGCACTTAGGCCATCCTCCACTGTACTCCCGGGCCACAGCAGAGAGCTGGCCTGGAAGAGGGGCAACCAAGACAGAATCTGGCGCCCCGACCGGGACTAGAACCCGGCGTGCCTGCGCCGCAAGGCGGAGGATTAGCCTAGTGAGCCGCGGTGCTGACCCCGGCCATGAGATTCTTGACACTGCTATCCTCACTGTACATCTCTGGTTAAAACATTAGTTTTACTTATTTATTTATTTATTTATTTTGACAGGCAGAGTTAGATAGTGAGAGAGAGAAAGAGAGAAAGGTCTTCCTTTTCTGTTGGTTCACCCCACAAGTGGCTGCTACAGCCAGTGTGCTGCGCTGATCCGAAGCCAGGAGCCAGGTGCTTCCTCCTGGTCTCCCATGCGGGTGCAGGGCCCAAGCACGTGGGCCATCCTCCTCTGCCTTCCCAGGCCATAGCAGAGAGCTGGACTGGAAGAGAAGCAACCGGGATAGAATCTGGTGCCCCATCCGGGACTAGAACCCAGTGTGCCAGCGCAGCAGGTGGAGAATTAGCCAAGTGAGCCGCGGCACCGGCCCAAAACATTAGTTTTTTTTTTTTAAATTATTTCTTGATTTGAAAGAGAAACAGCTATCTCATCTACTGGTTCATTCCTCAAATGCCTGAAACAGCCAGGGTTGGGTCAGGCCAAAGCCAGGAGCTAGGAACTCTACCTAGATCTCCCAGGTGGGTGATAGGGGCCCAACTACTTGAGCCATCACCTGCTGCTTCCCAGGGTGTGTATTAGCAGAAAGCTAGAATTAGAAGTGGAGCTGGGAGCTAGGTACTCTGGTATGGGATGCACATTTCCCAAGTGGTGTCAAAAACCCACCCTAACACCCTAGATTTCTTTAAAAAAAAAAAAAAAAACCTCAATCCTAGCTCCCTGCCTTGTGACTTCTCCCCCTCTTCCTGAATAGGGTTTTTTTCCCCCTCCTGCACTAACCACATCCTGTCGTTGACTTTGAGTCTTGCTTGCATCTAATGCCTCTTTATCTTTTTCTTTTTCTTCCCTAGTGTCGCTGAAGTGGCGATTACATTTTGAATTCGTAACATCCCGAGAACCCGGATTGGTTCTCCTACCCCCTGTGGAACAGCCTGAACCTGCCACCTGGACAGGTCCTGAGCAAGTGCCTGTAGACACCTTCAGCTGGGACCTCCCCATCAAGGTGCTGCCTACAAGCCCCACTCTGGCCTCATATGCTGCCCCGGGCCCCAGCACCAGCACCATAACCATCTGAAACTGCACGCTTGCCCACCCCAGCACTGGCTTCCCAAAGGACACTGGGAGCGCAGTCTCAGGACTGTAGTAGGGCTGGCCCACTTTTTCCATCGTTGGGGGGCCAATGGCATGGACAATAAGAGGCAGGCCTTCAGCTGTAGCATTAATTTATTTATTCAGAATAAACTGGCAGCTGCTAGTGGTTTCCCTGGAAGTGGCAGCAGAAGTCAGCAGTCAGCAGTCAGCATTGGGGTGACCAGTTGAATTTAGCTGGACTGGGGAGCAGGAGCCCCAGGAACAGGGGTGTTAGCTGAGCCCCACTCTAGGCCGGGCCCTCTGCCTTTGCAGGGCAACCGAGGGTCAGATTTTTGCACCAGGGAGAACTGACAGGTTCCTGCCTCCCGGCGAACCTCACAGTCAGCAGGGAAGTCAATGGGATGCTGGGACCTAGGGAACCAAGGAGAGAGAAGGAGTCAGAACAGTAAAAGACCATCTTCATACCCCTCTCCCGACTCCTGCTCTCAGCTCTCCTCCCATACCCTCCCATAGTGGCCCCCTTGTCCCCTAAGCTCACTCCTACCACATCTGGACATTATGTTTCATAGCAAGAGTGTTTTCCCTCTAGATCCACCCCAGCCTCCCTCACTTGGTAGCCTGTAGCATTATTGACCGAGTGAAGACACTCGTGTGGGTACCTTCAGCTTTGGCAAGTCTCCTACCAGTCCCGGTTCATTGTCACATCACAGCAATCTGTCACTCCCTCAGTCACTCACAGCAGAGGCATTCCCCCGGGGCAGCCTGGGTCACTCACGTGTCACAGCAGCCCACACCGACGGGATGCAGACAGGTGCAGTGGAAGCAGTCCTTGCGGAGCCACGACTCGCCCAGGGTGAAATGCTTCCCCTCATAGTGACAGGGGGCTGGGGAAGAAAAGGAAGTGTCAGTGGGGGTGACAGACGGTCTCTTCTAGTCTGGGGTGGGACAGTTAAGTGCACTCACTCCCCAGTCTTTCTGTCCAGTGTCACAGCTGGAGGGAGTCCGGGTGTTCTGATCCCGGATCATCTGCTCGTCCGTGCCCCCGCCTCCTCTAGTCCTTATCCTTTCCCAGCATCTCGACCCACTTTACCTTGAGCTTGGAAGTAGCACTTGCTGTGTACTCCTGGGTGCTGGAGGAGGAGAGACACCAGCAAGCAGATGATCCCCCAGCCTCCCAGGATCCCCTTGGCCTGTCCAGCCCGCAGCATCCTTAGGGCCGCTGGTGCAGCAGTCTGCTCGGACCCTTCTTGGGTTCTGTCTGGGCTGCTCTGGTCTCGTCTCCTCGGCTCTGCTTTTCTTCTGGAGCCTTGGTTTCTTCTGTCTTTCTCCCTTGGGCTCCTGTCTCACACCATCTCCTTGCCCTGTCTCACAGGCTGGGGCTGTTTATAAAGTGAGGACCCTGGCCCCCTGCTGAGTAGAGCTGGAAAAGCTGTAACTCTGTTTCCTGAGGTGAGGGCATGAAAACAAGAGGTCCAGCTTTAACAAGCTGTGAGAGCTGATTCATGCCCCGGCACTGCTTGAGGGAGGGAGGTGGCCGTGGAAGGGGCGCTGGACCGGGCACTTCCCCAGTAAGGAGGTAGGCAGAGTGAGGGCCCCCAGGTGGTCCCCAGATCTGTCCCTGACCTGGAGAGAAGGAAGCATTCCACTGGCCCCACTTCCCCCAGCCGCCCCACTAGCACCACCAGGGGTGTGTGTGCTGGGATCCTTGCCTGGACCGGAGGGAGGCATTTCCTGGGGATGGCTAATCCTGTACCCCAGCCAAACCGAGGCGCTGCAGCGGGGTGCAGCAGCCAGAGGCTCCAGGAGAGCAAGCAGGCACCTGGAGTGGAGAATGTTTCCCGCAGAGCCTAGGGCGGGGTTTCCCCCGTGTGTCCAAGCAACAAGCCTGGTGCTCAGATGTGGGGTGGGGAGGCTGTTTCCTCAGACATCCCAGAGATGGACTGTCCAGTGTTTATCATCCTAAAGATACAGGCGATGCAGATGCACAGGCCCTTCACCTGGGGATGGCCCTTCCCCGCATCAAAGCGGAGCAGTTCTGATTCCCTAACCAGGGGACTCAGTCCAGGCTCACGGGGCGCTCTCAGAATGGAATGAGATTTTCCGAATTTATTCTTTGGCATCCTCCTTTTCATTTCCTGCAGGGCCTGGTGGACCCTGAATGGGTGATTAAGATCATGGGCTGTGAGACTGCTTGGATTCGGTTCCGACTCCATTTACTAGCTCCGTGACCTTGGGCAATAACCTCTCCCAGCGTGCTTCCTCATCTGTCACTTGGGGAACAGCAGTGCCAGCTCAGAGAGTTGTTATGAGATAACGCATGTGACGTTTCAGCTCTTCCTCTGGCCTGTAACCCTCGGAAAACACCCGCTACCGCGCGTGGTGCTGATGCTCAGACATCATGGGGGACGACACTGGGCCGCTCTGGGTCCACAGCTGCCTTTCTGTTGGGGATTGCTCTCTCCTGGCAGACTTCTGCCCCGTCACGCATCATGCCCCCTTGTCATCCCTGCCACCTCTTTGGAAAAACGTGTACCTCCAGGAACACTTTGGTTTTGTTCCTTGTGCTGAATCCTGGATGTGTGGTTTGGGAAATAGTGTAGCTGGTGAACCTGCTATCCCCAGATCATAGCCCTCACCTCTCCCCCTGAGAAGAGGTGTCCTGTTCTCAGTTCTTCCCATCCCCACTCATGTGAACGCTCAGGCTAGCCATCTCCTTGATAACGACAGGCCCTGGTCAGACCGGGTTTCTTTCACTTCTGCATATTTCAAAGCCCTGTGTTCCAGCTCTTCCCTTCCTGCCCACATGGCCGATCACTTTGGCCCTTGCTCTGTTTTTCCTTCTAAGTCTCCAGTCTTGTACTCCAAGGCCCAGTCCTTGCGACCTAGTGCATCAGATACAGCCACTTCTGGCTGACTTCTTCAGAGGGCTGCCCTGCCTGCCCACTGCTCACCACTCAGAAACGACTCTCCGTGCGCCCCAAGCTCTGTGGCTGCCCTCTTAAAGGAAGGCAGCTTGGTGGATAGAGATCAGACTGTACCACATGCTTGCCTTGGGCAGATCTGGTACCCTTTCCGTCTCAGGGGAGTGCCAAGGAAGAAAGGAAATGTCACGGTTCCAGCGGGGTGCCTGGAGCTGGGCCTGTGTGGGGAGACGGGGCCTGGGACAGCTTCTTAGTGCAAGCAGGTGCATAAGAAGGCCTGTCCAGCACCAGGGCTCAGAAATCTAGTCAGTGGTCGTTAGTCCTGCTGCTGCTTTTGTGGGTGGGGTGTGGAGTTAGGGGAAGACCCCTGCTGACACGCAGAAGCCTGGGAGCCAGACAGCCTGAGAATGGTGGTGGGAATGCTGGCTGGTGAAGGGGACCCAGGTGGGTTGGTCTGTGTGGAGTAAGGAGACAAAAATGAGGGTTAGCCCCTGGAATGAAGATGAGAGAGGCCTACTGGGGTGGCTGAGAGTCTGGGTCAAGCCAGCTTCTCAACTCCCCAGAAGTTGAGGGGCTGGGGGGAGGGGCCCTGATGGTACAACCAGTATGCGTGCCAGGGGGGCTGGGTGTGGGGGCGGGGGAGGGGAGAAGAGATGTGGTTAGGACCCAGCCCTTCGCGTCTTGGGGGAGTGGCTCTTTGCAGCCTGTTGGTGGGGGGCAGGGGCTTGGCAGTTGGCACGCCCTCCCCTGAGCTCGGGTACAAGGAAAACATCCGCCGGAGGCCCAGCCGGGCGATGCTCCAGCTTAGCGGGCAGGTGCGCGGGGTGAGGAAGTGAGTGCATTCCGGGCCCCCCCAGTCCGCAGGCCCTCCGGTGAGTCACCACACGGGACCCCCCGCCCGCAGTGGCCGGATAGGAGGGAGAGGGGAACCGGGCCAGAGCCCAGGGAGGCCAGTGGAAGAGCCGGGGAAGGGGTTTCTGTCGTGGTTGTGAATGAATGGAGGCAGGTGGGTGGGTGGAGTAGAGAAAAGGGCCAGAGAACTCTCGCAGAGAGGGAAGGGGCTGGGCGCAGATGGGAAGTGGCCAGGCCCAGAAAGGTAAAGTGACCTCTGGGTCTCAGGAGGTGTCGGACTTGGGGTTCCAGGAGACTAGATAGGAAGGAGGGACCCACTGGGTGTGGGTGTGTCAGAACTAGCTGAGCCCGAGATGAGGTCTGTGCCGAGGCCTGTGTGGGGTGGTTTGTGTACGCCTGTGGCTAGGCCATCAAAGGCAGTGTCATGGGGGTCTGAACAGGAAGCGCAGTGGGGAAACTTAAAAGCATTACTGGCTGCAATTCACGGACACGCTACTTTTTAATAATTTAAAATTGCATGACTATATCCATCAACAAATATTTTATGTATTTTGTCGACTTTTTTAAATAAAAAACTTTTAATAAAAATGGAAAAATCTGATTTAATATTTGATTTAAAACCCAAAGTGAGGCTGTCAAGATTAGTTATATGGTGTTTTCCTTTGTCTTAATCTTGTGCCATTTTCTACTTGCTAACAGGACTGGCATTTGTGTTGTTTTTGTGTATTGGTAGTAGAGCATGCCTGCTTGTCCTCTTCCGCATCGTCTTGGTATTTAACTTCTCACCTAGCCCTGTAACTTGCCCTGTGTATCTGGAACCATGTAAAAATTCCTTGGGATGGGGACAGTGGGCTGCAGTATACAAAGTAACTCACAGTTTTAACAGCAGAAGGTAGGATGGTAGGTACTGTGGGTGTGCACCCAACAATAAACTTTGTGTATTTACCCTGTAGCTGATAGAAAGCTACAGCTGTCATTCCTGATAATATTCCTACAACATGGCAATATGTTAGTTTGATTTCTCTTCTAAAATTAATTCTAAAGTGGCATTTGGTACTTGTCTTGGAGACTGACATTAACTGTCCAAATTTCTTATAATTTGTGTTACCTAAGGCCAAAGGCAATTGCAAGGATTTGGATATTTATAGTTTATTTTAAAGATCCTTAAACTGCTATTGCCTTTGGTCCCAAACAAGAAAATCTAGGTCAGTTAACAAAAAGAAGCTGGCACTTTGGGCCCTGTGGCTGTCTCCCGTGCTGTTTCAGCCCAGCCCTACCTTATTCCCACTGGTCTTTGCCTGCCTGCCTTCCTTCCTTCCTTCTCTGCTCTGCTGGGCATCCTTAGAGAAAAGCTTCACACCAACTTCCTGTACTATAAATTCTCTCCCTCCCCTCATCTCCACACTTCTCTTTGCCAACATGCACCACCACTTCTTCATTGATTTTTATTTTTTTAAATCCCGCAGCCCTGTCTGGCTCTTTCCCATGTTTGACACTCTCTTCTTGAAGCCCTTCTTTCCCTCCTTCCTCTCCATGGCTTTTCAAAAGGCCAGGCTCTGATTATTTATTCTGTATGGTCCACTTCTGCCTGCCTTCCTCTTCTGTCATCCTTGTCTTACTCTAAACTGCTTATAAACTCTTCGGTTTGCTTGCACTTTTTCCTTGTGATTATTCTTCCCATAGACACAGTAGAAGATGTTTATGTTCCCATTATTTTTCCTACCAAAAAAACGGAACTTCTCAAATGTACATGTACTTCCGTCTCTTCTGCCAGTAGTCTGCATCTAGAAGCATGGATTGGCCATTATCGAAACACCCAGTAAATGACTGTTTAAACTTGGTGTTGTGTAGGCACCGTACATTTCATAACCCTGGTGCCAGATGCTTGAGGCTTACACGTGTGTGTGGATGTTGTCATGTACACACACACAGGTAATAGAACATACGCTAATCCATGAATATGTGGACATGTATATATTCAGTATGTTGTATTATAATCAAGCCAAATATATATATTGGGTTGGAATATGAGGACAGGTAAATTCAGTTAGGATAGAAGTTTAACAGACAACATCCGTTCTGTATTCAGACTGGTGAAGAATGTGAGGACAGTCATTCCTATGAAGATGGAGAGACCCCATGAGGGAGAACAAGTTTTCTGAATGGAGAGAGGTGACTTGGAAGGCCGTGGTAAGTGGTAGCATACAAGAGCATACAACTGGTATACCCAAACAGCCACTAGTCTGACAGGATATAAAAGGTTCTCTGTGGTACTGATGTCAACCATAGTCAGCTCTCCATGAACAACCCCCGTTGAAGTTTGCCTACCCTATCTACACCATTGGAGCCCTTCTCACAAATTTCTCTTTACTATTTTTTTCTTTTTATAAATAATTGCATTCATAATAGCCCTACCACCAATTAACCCCCAGCTAATCACTTATTTTTCACTAAATCTCATTATATACTTCAAAAAATTATTTGAAAGGCAGACCAACAGAGAGAGAAGAAGAGAGATCTTCCATCTTCAGGTTCATTCTCAAGTAGCCACAACAGCCAAGACTGGGCCAGGCTGAAGCCAGGAGCCAGGAATTCCATCCCAGTCTCCTCTGTGGGTGGCAAGGGCCCAAGGACTCAAGCCATTTTCCCCTGTCTTCCCAGGCACATAAACAGGAAGCTGGGTTAGAAGTGGAGTAGCTGGGGCCAGCCCTGTGGCACAGCAGTGTAACGCCCTAGCCTGAGGTGCCAGCATCCCATTTGGGCACCGATTCGAGACCTGGGTGCTCCACTTCTGATCCAGCTCTCCGCTATGGCCTGGGAAAGCAGTGGAGGATGGCTCAAGTCCTTGGGTCCCTGCACCTGCTTGGGAGACCTGGAGGAGGCTCCTGGCTCCTGGCTTCAGATCGGCACACCTCCAGCCATTGGGCCAGTTTGGGAGTGAACCATCGGATGGAGGACCTCTCTCTCCTCTGACTTTCCTCTCTCTGTGTAACTCTTTCAAATAAATAAATAAATAAATCTTTTTTTCTTTTTCTTTCTTTCTTTCTTTCTTCTTTTTTTTTTTTTTAATGGAGTAGCTGAAACTTGACCTAGCGGGCCCTGGCTGTGATACGGAATGCCAGCAGCACTTAACCCCACTGCACCACAACACCAGCCTCTCCTTAAATGATCATTCCCCTGCCTGCTCCTAGGTCTGCTTGTGGTGGTGCCTTCGTATTCTGCTTGTGACTCTTGCCTTTATCCTTCTGCGAATTGCTCTAAAAAAAAAAAAAAAATACAAAGCCTTGAATTTTTGGAAGCCCCCTTTTGTGTTTCCCCCCCCCCCCCCCCCCCCCCCCCCCCGCCCGCCCAAGCAAGACTTACCATTTGTTCTCTCTGCAGGATGATACAATTGTTCTTTGCTAGACTGTTTCTTTACTGACTGGGATGGGTTTCTTCCTCCTGAGGTGGAGGTAGCCCTGTGCACTGTTAGCTGGCTTTTGTTACTAGAGTTGTTAAGCTCTTGTTGGTCTTGCCCATCTGCTCATTCCCCGAGCCCCCTCCCCTGCTGTGGTTCTGCTCTTTGAAATAATTCAGAAGAAATCTTTGTTCAATGTGGCAGCTGTTTAAGATTGGAAAGGGTTTGTTTTCTCTGACTCCAAGTGCTGTCCCATAGACCTTTCTGCAGCGATGAACTGTTCTCTACCTGTGCAGGTAACCAGTAGTCACCAGGCACGCCTGGCTATTGAGCCCTTGCAGTGTGGTTTGTGAGATTGAGGAACTGAATTTTCAGTTTTATTTCGTCTTAGCTAACAGGCAGAGGCAGCTCGTGACTACTTGTCAGTGCAGCTCTAAACCCTCTTGGCTGCTTCAGAAATCTTATCAAGTGTGGTATGAAAATGTGTGTACCTGTGCTGTGGGATCAGTGTGGATGGAGGCCAGTCTCACATGTCACCACCCAAAAAAAGCCCAGTCCCCACTCCCAAAACCCCAGTGAGTAATGTCAGTTGTTACAGGCAGAGAGACAGAGATTCCCTCCACCTGCTGATTCACTTTCCAAATACCTGCAGTGGCCAATGCCGGGAACCAGGAACTCAATCTAAGCCTCCCATGTGGGTGACAGGGACTCAAGTACTTGAGCCATCACTATTGCCTCCCAGGGTGCACTTTAGCAGGAAGCTAGAATCAGAAACAGAGCTGGGCCTTGAACCCAGGCACACCAACATGGGATGTGGATGTTCCAAGCGGTGGCTTGAACACAGTGCCAAATGCCCACCCAGTCATTTTTATTTTTGATTTTAAGATTTATTTTATTTGATTTGAAATTCAGTGATGAAGAGAGGGAGAGACAAGTTTTCCATATGTTGCTTCACTCCCCAGATGGCCATAACATCCAGGGCAGGGCCAGGCTGGAGCCAGTAGCTGTGAGCTTCCTTCAGGTCTCCCATGTGGGTGGGAGGCTAAAGAAGAGCATGTATCTCACATCCTATATCCCACAAACCAAACTTTCAAAAAATCCCCGTTTAATCTTTTTCCCTAAAGTTCCTCTCCCTAGCAACTGCTATAGTGTCTACCAAATCTCTCCTGTTCCCCCCCCCCCTTTTTTTTTTTGACAGGCAGAGTTAGAGAGAGAGAGAGAGAGAGAGAAAGGCGCTATGCCAATCCGAAGCCAGGAGCCAGGTGCTTCCTCCTGGTCTCCCATGCAGGTGCAGGGCCCAAGCACTTGGGCCATCCTCCACTGCCTTCCCGGGCCACAGCAGAGAGCTGGACTGGAAGAGGGGCAACCAGGACAGAATCCGGCACCCCAACCAGGATAGAACCCTGGGTGCTGGCGCCGCAGGCAGAGGATTAGCCTAGTGAGCCACTGTGCTGGCCATTTTTTTTTTTTTTAATATGGAATGTATATTATCCGCTTTTTTTTTTTTTTTTTTAAGATTGATTGATTTATTATTTGAAAGGCAGAGTTCGGAGAGGCAGGGCAGAGAGAGAGGACTCCCATCTGCTGGTTTACCCCACAAATAGCTGCAATGGCCGGAGCAGGGCCAATCCAAAGCCAGGAGCTTCTTCCAGGTTTTTCACCTGGTCCCCTAAGAACTATTCTTAAATGGGCAAAGAGCAGATGGTGGTGTTCAAAGAGAAAGGAGGTGGGCCGGCACTGTGGCATAGTGGGCAAAGCTGCTGCCTGCAGTGCTGGCATCCCATATGGGCGCTGGTTCCAGTCCCAGCTGCTCCACTTCTGATCCAGCTCTCTGCTATGGCCTGGGAAGGCAGTAGAAGATGGCCCAAGTTCTTGGGCCCCTGCACCCACGTGGGAGACCCGAAAGAAGCCCCTGGCTCCTGGCTTTGGATCGGTGCAGCTCCAGCTGTTCCAGCCGCTGGGAAGTAAACCAGAGGATGGAAGACCTCTCTCTATCTCTCTGCTTCTCTATAACTCTGCCTTTCAAATAAAATAAATAAATAAATAAATCTTTTTTTAAAAAAGAGAGAATGGAAGAGAAAGGCTTAAAAGGAGAATGTTTGTTTTAGAAAGAAGGGGAGGGGCTGGTGCTGTTTGTACTAGGTAAAGCCACCACCTGCAGTACCAGGATCCCATATGGGCACTGCTCCACTTCTGATCCAGCTCCCCGCTAACGCCTTGGCCCTTATACCCACATGGGAGACTTGGAAGAAGCTCCTGGCTTCTAGCTTCAGTGTGGCCCAGCCCTGGCCATTGCGGCCATTTGGGGAGCGAACCAGGAGATGAAAGATTTCTCTCCCTCTGTCTCCCTACCCCTCTCTGTAATTCTGCCTTTCAAGTAAATAAAAGCAATATTAAAAAAAAAAATAGTTCTTAAGTGTGTTCTTGCTTTTCCAGCTTCCCTTCCCTTTCATTATCTCTGCTCAGTAAAACCCAGGAGCATTTGCTGGACCCGCCTTTCTTGGGGAGGGTAAGAGTAGAAGGTAAGTAGTTATAAAATTTTCCCCATTCTTATATATCACCTGATCTCCTTTCATTTGTCATCTTTGCTGGAGATGGTTTATTTAAATATCTTTTTGCAGACAGATCTCTAATGTCTTCATACCAGATCTACACTTGGCAAATCCTAAAGCTGCTTCTATGTAGTTACCTCGTTGTTGTTTTTCCTTCCTTGTTCCTGTGCTGTTTTTAGTGGCTTTACCGGTCTGCAGGCGCACACGGGCTACTGTCACTGAGGGAGCAGCGGTTACCTCCCACTGCTCTCACCAGGGCCTCCTCCTCCCCTGGATTCCTTCTGGGCTCCCTGTCATTGTCTGCCTTCCCTTTTCCATTGTTCTCATCTCCTCCTCATCCATCTCTTGCATAAAATTCACTGTTCTAAAAAGAAATCATTTCTGGAGTCTCAGCTTTTCTCCAGAGGCTTCCACGTAATTCTCTGTACCCTGTTCCAAAGCTGTGACTGTGGCATTGAGTTCCCGTGGGCTGGGGACGCCGAGGTCGAGGGAGTAGAATATCCTCTCGGGCAAGGGCACTGTGAACGTTTTGGGCAGGATAAGCCTTTTGTTGTGGGGCTTCCTGTACACTGTAGGAGGTGTAGGCACATCCAGCAGATGCCAACAGCAACCTCTCAGTTATGACAATCAAAAGTGGAGACACTGGAGGACAAAGTCCCACCCCCTCCCCATGTTGAAAACGGCTGAAGAGGGAGGACGTTAGCTTTCTTGAAACATGCTCTTCCCAACTGCTGATTTAGTTGCCTAGCCTGTGTTTTAAAATGATGATCTCTAACTTGATAGGACGTAGTTTGTGTTGTTTTTTTTTTTTTTTTTTTTTTTTGGACAGGTAGAGTGGACAGTGAGAGAAAGAGAGAAAAAGGTCTTCCTTTTGCCGTTGGTTCACCCTCCAATGGCCGCCGTGGCCGGCGCACTGCGGCCGGTGCACCGCGCTGATCCAAAGGCAGGAGCCAGGTGCTTCTCCTGGTCTCCTGTGGGGTGCAGGGCCCAAGGACTTGGGCCATCCTCCACTGCACTCCCAGGCCACAGCAGAGAGCTGGCCTGGAAGAGGGGCAACCCGGACAGAATCCAGCACCCCGACCGGGACTAGAACCCGGGGTGCCAGCACCGCAGGTGGAGGATTAGCCTAGTGAGCTGTGGCGCCGGCCGGAGGTAGTCTTTTAAAGCTGCAAGTTCCTGCGAGCTCATCAAAGGCCTACTGAATCAGAAATGTTGGAGATAGAACCCAGAGATCAGGTTTTTCAGACGATACCATGCCCCTAACCCAGCCAAATCATTCTTGTGCCCCAGGCATGACCCTCTGTGGCATAACTGCCGCATTACCCACATTTCTCCCCTGCAGGTCTTTTGGCGCTCCAGCTTTGCTTCCGCTCTTGGCCTCATGATGCCAACACAAATAGGGAGGCCTCAGGTTACCAGGACAACTGGAACACAGGAAACCGTAAGGGCTCAGCAGTCCCGCGTGCATCGTGGACTGCAACCATGCTGGCTCGCTTTATCCTTAGGAGTGCAGTCATACCTCCTATTCCCCATTCCCCAAACTACCCAGCTTGGCAGATATCCAGGCCCAAGCCACAGACCCTAATTTCACAGAGGAATATGGAATGGGTATGGTGAGGAATGGTAAATGAGACTTTCTTTGCAATATTGATACTGCATATAACCTTGGTGATAAATTGAATTTTCCAATGGCAAGGACACTTCACTGAGAGTTGGTTAGATTGCAAGTGTTGCATTTAGGATGCTTCTATGTACTCCCAGTATTGGTACCTGCTTCACTGGGTCTTGAGTCTTGGATGGTTTTGTAGCCCCAGGCTAGATACCTCCATAATTTGCTTTTGGGCCAAAAGGTTTAGCAATCTTCTATGTACCAGCGACAGCTAACGTATAGCAAGAAAGGAATAGCTACCAATTTTCAAAGCTGGTTATTTGTTTCAATAAGATCATTTGGCTTAATTAAGTCCCCTTAAAGCCATGAATAATTCAAAATCTATTTCAGATGCTTGAAAATGTTGAGCTGATCCAAAACTGGAGCAAGCCATCTCCATGAAACACTCAGGGCAGACTAGAGCAAGGGAGAAGTAAGAGTGAAAAAGCAGGCCAGCGCCACGGCTCAATAGGCTAATCCTCTGCCTGCGGCGCCAGCACACCGGGTTCTAGTCCCGGTTGGGGTGCCGATTCTGTCTGGATTGCTCCTCTTCCAGTCCAGCTCTCTGCTGTGGCCGGGGAGTACAGTGAAGGATGGCCCAGGTGCTTGGGCCCTGCACCCGCATGGGAGACCCAGAGGAAGCACCTGGCTCCTGGCTTCGGATCAGCGCAGTGCGCTGGCCGCAGTGGCCATTGGTGGTTGAACCAACGGAAAAAGGAAGACCTTTCTCTCTGTCTCTCTCTCTCACTGTCCACTTTGCCTGTCAAAAAAAAAAAAAAAAATGATAAAGCAAACTTGCTAGCACTCTTCAAAGTCTTGAAGGACTGTCTTGTTGAGGAGGGATTAGATTTATTTGATTTAGCTCCAGCAGGTAGAATAAGAACCTTTATTTAGATGACAGAGATAGGGAGACAAATTTTGCCTTGATAAGGAAGACCTTTGGAAAAATTTGAGGCTCTCAAATGGGACTGAGCCAAATTGTTTAGCACTGAATTACTAGTGTCTGTATTGTCTATAGATGTTAGAGTACCATCTACACAAGGTTTGGATGAAGTTTTGGATGTTGAATTGGGTTCTATCTGTAAGGAGAAGCAGAGAAATTTAGAACAAGTCAATTCATCCTATTAGCAACTATATGGCAGCTATTAAAGTGATTACTATTTTTCTAGGCACCTCTGCCAAGTTTCCTCCCATGGGTCATTGAATATTAGAGTTAGTAGTAAGGTCTTCAGATGTTCTCAAACTTTGTTCCCTAGGCCCCTGGAGATTCCTCAGGAATGCCTCAGAAGCGGCTGAGAAGGGTAAAATGGAAGGTAGACGGGCGCCTGTGCTTCAACCAGAACAATCTTTTGTTTGTTTTATAAGCAAGATTTCCTTTAAGATCTTTTTGAAAACACCATACACACATGGGTTCTGCTGGGGGGGGGGGGGAGTAAAGGCTCTGATATGCCAAGATCTTCCTTTTATTGACACACTGAGGTGTGGAACAGGAAGTATCTTGCCAAAGATTATAACAGCTGGTAAATTCCAGAGTTGCTGGGATTCGAATCCAGCTCTTCTAATTAAAATTACTTGTTTCTTCTCCCCTACTAGTCTACCTTCTTATCACGCAGTGAAAGGGCCTCTCTATTCCACCCGCACCACTGTGATCCAGGGTTTTATTTCAGCTGGTCTGTGTTAGCTGCTTAACTGGTCTTCTGCTACCCAGTCTCCGCTGATGCTAGCACATACTGTGTATACTGTTGCCATTTCATCTTGAAACATTTCCTTAGTCATGAGGTTTCCCTGCTCAGGAGCCTGCTCCCTGTTGCCTGTGAGAACTTTCCTGCCTGGCAGTCTGTTCACATTTTGTAGAATCCTCATTATTTAGCTTGATGTGAGCCTTAATCCATCCTATTGTGTGTGATTAAGGGACTTTATAATAGTGAATTAACTGAGTCCCTGCCTATCCTTAGACTCCAGTTTTGACAGGGTTTTCATGTGTACAGTGTTAATTAGGCACAATGAGAAGATACCAAATAAATAAAATAATCAGGTTACATCACAAGATGTATAATATAATCCTATTTATATCACGCATGCATTTTTAAAATGGAGTATGATGTCTAGGTGTTTTCTGGAAGAAAAAATATTGAAGTGATAGTAGACATGAACTCTGATGAGGGGGCTTGAGAAAGGACAGGGAATAGAGGAGGAAGAGGAAATTTGAAATATTTGTTTCTCCACTGAGATGAAACCTCACAGGACAGAAAGGAACCCTAAGGAACAGAAACTGCTCTGCTGGCTGGCCTGGCTCCACTGCTAACCATTTCTTTGGTTCTTGTAAAGAAGTAAAATCTCAGTGGATGATTTGATTGGTGAAGCTTGCAAGTGCTGTCCATGACTCTATCTGGATACACAGAGAAAAGATCTGAGGGAAGGGGTCCCTAGCAAGCCCTGTGTTTCTGTTGGGGGTGAGCAGAGGCTTGATTGTGTCTTCCAACAAGGCTAAACACAGAGCAGCGCAGGCAACTGCCTGAGAAGACAGGGTACTCGGAGGAAGGGGACATGGATGCTGGCGTTCAAGGTGGCAGACATCCCGTCCCCTGCATCCACTCCACTCCAGCTTTACTTCTCATCTCTTCCTTGATCCTAGACCTCTCTTTACTCTTGACCCCGACCCAAGGTCTTCTGTGTGATTTTAACACTGGGCTGGGCAGTGAGTGAGCGGGTGGGGAGAGAGGCAGTTGGCAGGTTCTACCTTCCTGTCGTTGCCTTCCTGTGTTATACAGAAAGCCTTTCCAGTGTCTGACAGTTCAAAGTAATTATAATAAACATAAGTGGCGTTACAAACAAAAAACTTATCCATATGCTCTGCTAGCAACCTGCTGCCCTGATGGTGGAGCCATTCTTCCTTGTAGAGTGTGGCCCAGGAGGCACTCCTGCCCATCTCCTCTATGTGTGTGTGTTTTCGGGGTTGAGGGGCCTACCAGTACATGTGCCAGATGATTCTCTGCCTTCTTTGGAAGGTTTATGCCGTAATCAGATTGTAAAATAGAAGTGTTCTGTATTAGCCCTCTGATAAAGAATAGTATATTTCAACTCTTACCATAACTTGGACTTGATTTTTTTAGATTTATTTAGTTTTTTAAGATTTATTTAGTTATTTTTTATTTTATTTTTTAAATAAGATTTATTTTTATTTGAAAGAGTTACAGAGAGAGTCAGAGGTGGGGGGTAGGGGGGAAGCTTCTATCTGCTGGTTCAGTCCCCAAATGGCCACAACAGCTGAAGCTGAACCGATCTGAAATGAGGAGCTATGAGTTTCCCCTGGATCTCCTGTGTGGGTTTAGGGGCCCAAGGACTTGGGCCATCTTCTGCTGCTTTCCTAGGAGCATTAGCAGGGAGCTAGATCAGAAGAGGAGCAGCCACGACTTGAACTGGTGCCCATATGGGATGCCAGCACAGCAGGCTGGGGCTTTAACCTGCTATGCCACAGCGCTGACCCCTTGGACTTGATTTTTAAAAATCTGTGGTTAACTGTGATATGACATGCAAATCACGTTCCACCTCCTAAGGATTGGAGAGCAAATGCATTTCCACTAAACAGAAAACCTTTTCCTCACTGTTTCAGAAGGCTGGTAGGGCAAGGATAATCCTATACCATGAATGGACTGATTACTTTCTGTAATGATTTGTTGACTAGCCATTATTGATAGTAGAAGGCTTTAAAATAACTACCCCCCCACACCTTTTTTTTTTAAAGAAAGATGTATTCATTTATTTAATTGAAAGGTAGAGTCAGGGACAGAGATCTATTTGCTGCTTCACTCCACAAATGCACACAACAGCTGGAGCTGGAAAAAGCCAAGCCAGGAGCTGGAACTTTTTCCACGTCTCTTGCATGGAGGCAGGAACCCAAGTACTTGGGCCATCATCCATTGCCTCCCAGGGTGCATTAGTAGGAAGCTGGACTGGAAACACAGAGTAGTTGAACCCAAACCAGACACTCTGATATGGGATGTGGGTGTTCCAAGCAACAGCTTAATCCACTGCACCACGATATCCTTCCCTAAAATTACTCCTTAATTGTTCCCAGATCATCATTTTTCCAATTTTATTGAAATATAATATACATACTAGAAAATGCACCCATTTTATATGTAAAATTATGTGAGTTTCAACAAATGTACATGCCTGTGTGATCATTTCCCCAATCAAGATATGGAACATCTCTGGGACCTACCCCCTCCAGTTCCCTCGTTACACTTGTAGTGCTTCTCCTCCTCCCCCACCCCATTCCAGGCTGCTGCTGCCCTGATATCTGTGACTATAGATTTATTTTACCTACTACAGAGCTTCATACAAATGGAGTCACAGAGGATGTATTGTGTTGCTTGCCTGCTATAGTTCAGGGTTCAGTTTTTGATATTCATATTTTTATATACATCAATAGTTTGTCTTTTTTATTGTTGAGCAATATTTTACTATATGGACAAATCATGATCTGAATCCAGTCATCTGTTGATGGACGTTTGGACCATTTGCCACTTCGTGGAAGTTACTGTGAACACTCACATATGCGAGTCTTTTGTGGACATATGTTTACATTTTTCTTGGATAAATACCCAGGAGTGAAATCTTAGGTCCTCAAATAAGTGAATGTTTCAGTTGATAAAGGAAAAACTGCCAAACTCTTTTCCAAAGTGGGCTGTACAATTTTATCCTAAATTTTTAGCATCGTATGAGAGTTGCAGTTGATAGCGTCCTTGTCAGCATTTGGTAATGTCAGCTTTTGAAAGAAAAATCATTCTAGTAGAAGTGTAGTGGTACTTCATTGT